TAATTTTGTTTTTTAAATGTATTTTTATTTCAAGTTTATGTTTCAATGCAGCCGTACTTTTGTTTATTGTGCCAAAAAATCCATGAGTTTAGCAGCGTGAACTTCATACATTTGCCATAAACTATCATGCCTGTTGGTGGTCACCCTCGTTCATTCCAGCACAGGTGCATTTGAACATTACTGTAGACATGACGGTAAGAAAGCTTTTCGGTACTTGAATATCATTTCTTTAAATTTTCAAACAAATTTATGTCCTTTTATGTTGTTTCACTATACAGGCAAAACTATTTGCCACTATTAGTGAATGTATGTAATAGTTTACAGTACATGTGATTTGAATAACACTGCCTGACCCTAGTTACATGATACATCCTATTACAAGAGATTACCAAATGATACAGACACAATAAATTACAACGAAAATTACTTTACAGCACTTAAAAGATTAGTCCTGGTCACATTCCTCTCATTATTGGCAAGATCTATGGTGGAATTAGAAACTTAAGCTCTTCACTGTATTGACACCCCAACTGTGAGAATGTCACAGTTTACCCGGTATTATTGAGACAAAGATGTTTAGTCTGTTTCACAACCAACATATGGGTTTTTATTATTGTTACTCCTACACTGAGTTTTAAACCATTTGCAGAATAAACATATATCAGTTAAGACTGTTTTAATTCTAAAGCAACAACAATAGAAATGTGTGTCTTACTACAAAGTAAAGATTGTAAGAACGAAAAATATAAAATTCTTATGTGGTACTGGTACTAGTAGTATTACGTAAAAATCACACAAGTTTATCATTCTAAATACTGAATCATATTATTATTATTATGAACTAAATATAAAATTACACCAAATTATTGAACTTAAAACTACTAATTTAAATGCAAAAAAATATAAAAAATCACAAACTCTTTCAGTTCAAAGTGCTAAGCCTAATTCACATAAAATGCACTCAATAGCTCTTAACCCTAACATTCATGGATCAACTTCTTTCCTAAAAATATATCTACTTTGAATTAAATTTTCAATATAATGATTAATATAAATAGATATACGATACATCATGACTTAAGCTACTATATAAAAATAATAAAAGTCACATATATGCCATGCAGTTTTTTCCAGAAGCAAATTTTCTAAGACTTATATAAAAAAAAAAAAAAAAAAAAAGTAACTATTGACCAATACTAAATACAACCTCTACATAAAATGGCAGTTACTATAATAAGCACCCTTCACATTCATATATTTTAAAATCCAGAGAATGACATTTCATCATGTGCTTTGTTTATCATCCTATGATTTGTCAAACATGAAATACAGTGATTGGAATAACATGGTACTGAAATTGACACCTTCAACTAGGATTGGCTAAAAGTTTTACAACTGAGGATTAACATACTCAGACGCTGTTTTATAAAGAAAATAGATTAGAAAAAGTTTTAGATACAAATAATAGATGGCAGGACCAGTGCTAAAAAGTGCAAAGAAAAGATTTTCTTCTTAGATGGCACTTATTTATAGTCTCAAAACATATTTTGGGATTTTTTTAAATTAAATTTTTCTTTAATCTTCATTAAACAATACAATTTTGTACAAATAATTGAATGATATGCTACTATTTACAAAAATAAAATCTGAAATCCAACAAAAGAGAAGTTCTCTATAATGTTTTCAATTCACAAATGTAATTTTGCCCTCACAATAAAACAAAATGGCCCCAGAAGATATGGGGTTAAATAGTGGGCCTATCTACAGCAAAGACTATATACAATATGAACATCCAATATCTGTTGATATATATACACACACACAGCTGTGTGTTCATTTGGGATGAAACAATACATTAGGCTCAACATACACACTGGGTCATAAAAGCCATAATATGTATCACAATACATGAAACTCCTTCATATCAGTTTAAATTACTTAAAAATAAGTTATTTTTTCTATCAACACACAAAGCTATATCAACAAAAGCACAATTACTTACAAATAAAGAATATGAAACTTACTTGCATTTAAAATACATTGACAACGTTAACTTTACTTAAGTAATTACAGAGTATGACAAAAATAAATTAAGTAACTTATAATATGAAAATAGTTTTATTTATGGATAAACAAGTTTGTTCTACAAAACATATATATATATATTTAAATATTATGTTTCTGTGTACCTAGATCATGAGATGGATACATTTGAATAACAGAACCTAAAAGCATTATGTATTGTGTTATCAATAGTGATACTACATTGCTAAATAAAGTAAACAAAAGCAAATCTAACAAATTTTAAAAAAGGAAAACTTAAAATAAATGATTTTACATACGAACACCACTTAATGTTAGGTTTTTCTTTTGTAATAAAGAGAGCTTTTTTTTTACTTTTCTTGTACTTATAATACAATTTTTGCATGATACCAGCACATATGCACTGTTTTGAACAGTTGGCACACAGCGGTTTTATTGTTCAGTCATTTTATGTTGTGACAGGAAATCCAAAATACCTCCACATGTCTGATCTCTAAAGCATCAAAAGGCTCTTAATTTCAGGTTCTTCATTTTTACCTTGACTTAACTACTGCTTGCCACTGCATTCTGGGATACACCACATGTAATATATGTTCAACCACAGGATCATGGAACTAAAACTGATGATTTGCAGATTAAAAATTAAAACCTAAGCTATGTATTATATAATTTCATAAAACATCTTAACATATCATACGTCATTATGACCCTAGTGTTCATATTTGGTGACACAAGAAAGCATTACTACCAAGATACTATTGCCAACCACTTGAATCTAACCCGCAACAACCAATTTTCTTATCGTGAGCAATCCTTTTTTTCTTATGCATTTCTATTATGAAGTGAAACCTGTGGAAATCTTTCTCTAACTATGATTAATGATATTGAAATATTAATTATCTACTTTTGCCTAATTGCAGCACAAAGTACCATAATCAGCAGATATAAACATACTATATTTTTTACATTACCTAGGTTAAGTTAGATTTGTTCAGATTATGTTAGCTTAGGTTATTATTAGTTAGGTATGGCTTAGGTTAGTGTGTAGCTCTCCTCGATGCAAATAATGATGTTCCAAAACGGTTGTGTCTGTAGTCAAAAAATATACAACGTCTGTAGTATGGACGTGTATTGTTTTAATTTTAGTACATGCAACCAACGACTGTGTAGTCATTTTAATTTCAATATGTAAAATTGTAAATGATGGCTACGTACAAGCCTATACCCTCACACAAATTGTTTTTGTGATCTTTTACACTATTGTGGCTAGTAAAGGATAGACTCTCCACAAGCGGAATATGCTTACACTTTTACACTTTAGCATTCGTCTAAAGCCTACGGTTACGTTAGGCCTTAACTGGCTTAATTCTTTACACAAAGCTATTACATACTAACAGTAACACAGAAAAATTTATCAAGTTATAAATAAAATATTTACAATTCAGCACATTCGGCAGGTTTTTGTATCAACTAAGAAAACATCTCACTATTTGTTTCAACAAAGAAATCACAGACATCAGTAAATATTATTTTAAATTAAATGTAAAATTTATAGAAACATCTTACCCATTCTTTACCGTCTGAGCCACGTGCTGAAAAGAAAGAAGCGCCCTCATCGATAAAAGGAATACGTCCGAAAATAGCTTTAACAGCGGGGGTATGAACTAGACGAAAAAACGAAAATAATCATATTAATTACAAGATTGATTTTTAGTTTCACTCTAAGTAGGTACTTATTCTGATTAGAAGTTAATATTAATATGTATATATTTCAATTTCAATATAAAAAATGTTTATCATTAAATGCTTAGTTTACACGTTCTGTATTATTTCGGTTTTATAAGCAAAGATTTCGTAAGTTGAAATCGAATGACTAAATAATAATTTAATTTATTTCGTGACGTCTATAGAAAATTATCTGTTAATTAGTTCTTTTGATAGCAAATGCATGCGTTAAAAAAGAAAGAAAAAAATTATCGGCATCCAATTCATTATTTGATTTATCTCCCAGCCATAAGTACACTGAGAGTGGCCATCCAACCACTCCATTGATTATTTTCTGTTTGGGTAGTAAGATCCTACTTTACTGTAATCATAGAGGTTCATTAGACTTGTATTAAAATGATTTTCGAAAGTCACAACGTCGTTACAGTCCATGTAGTCACGACGAGTCATGTTCTATCCGACAGACTGCATCTTGTCAATAGCCCTGTAGCGTGGTTTCCACTTGAAAAGGCTTCATTGTAAGGTTGTCATGTCAAAAGCACCCCAATGCTCATTTCACTCTTTCTATAAGCTAGTGCCCATTTCAACAGTTTGATCACAGAGAAATCCATTGGCACTGCGTTTAGCAACTTAACCAGCATTACCTTTTAAGGGAATAGCACACAGAACTTCTACGTTCCTTTCATTTTTCACAAACATATCTCCAAAAAAGTTTCAAAGTAATGCTAAAATCTAAAAGTATTATTTTTGAAAATGTTATGATTTCTTAAATAAATACACGTATGAAGTAACCTATTTTAATTTTAACTGGATTAAGTGAATAATTAAATATTTCTTGGGTGTATAATTTAACTAATTTTGCTCATTTGTTTTGTGTCTATCGCCTAAAAAGGTAGTTGAAATTATTTCGCAAACAATGACAATGTTAATATACATATATTTGGAAATATTGTGGAACAGCTCAATAAACTTAAAGTAAATTAATTAAAAGTTAATTTATTTCAAATTTGTAATAACCATTTTGAAATTAGGGGCAAGGGCTGAATTGTCCTTTTTTTATTTTTATTTTGGAAATCTGGTTAGTCTAATCTTGAGAAAAAGAATACCTGGAATATTGAGCACCAACCATTTCGTACAAGAGAACTGCCCCATCATCTGCAAGGGTACGTGAGTTGTATCAGTGATTTCAATTTCTCAGTACAATAAGGATTTTTAGTCATCTGGTTTCGTTATTCTATACTTCACGTGAAACACTCATTTACTCATCCTCTAACAAACACACTCAATAGACCTGGGCGAATCTGCTGTTATTGCGAATTTGTGTATCTAATACTTATAGGGCAATTAGTTATCAGAGAATTCCATACCATCATCACCGAAAATTAAGATGCTTATCCGATTTATAATTTGGGAATTTCAGTAGAGTGAAAAACATCTTTGGAAGGAATTATTCAAAAATGTCCCCTGGTGGGGCTTTCAATGTTAAAATACTGGTTTCGATTTTATATGGTACAGAGAGATTAGATAACCCACTGTGTGGCTTGGAGCTGAAACAAAACAAGTATTCAAAAAGATCTCAAATTAGCTAATCTTATATGCTGAAAGCCATTGACAACTTTTCACTTTCTTTAAAGTAGTCGTTACCGCAATCATTGCTTTTAGGATCTAAACTACTTTTTTTTAAGTTTTAAAGATAATATGTTTTGCTTTATTTTGATTTGTTTACGAGTAAAGTGAATTGTAACTTTATGAGAACAGTATTATTACAATTGTATTTTTTTAGGGATTTGTCAAAGCTGCTTGTTTATATTTAGTGTCTGATTATTAAAATGTTACTAATTATTAGATTTAGATGGTCGTATAGGCTACTAACCGTGACAGTGATCGATAACTAATCGTCACAACTTTACCGCAAGTTTGTTTGTTGAATTTTGAGCTAGATGTAAATAATTTCGAAATAGTAAACAAGAGAGAAGGCAGCTAGTTAATACCATGCGCTGCCACCACTTTACCAAACTAGAGAGAAGGCAGCTAGTTAATACCATCCACTGCCAACCCTTTACCAAACTATAGAGAAGTCAGCTAGTTAATACCATCCACTGCCAACCCTTTACCAAACT